AAATCTCTCCACAGAAAATTATAAATAGAGGTCAATTTTTTCGGGTAGTCCCCATATAAGGGTACCTGCAGTTTTCGATATTTTGAGGTTCTTGAGCGCGTTTTTTTTTAACCGAATTCGCTGAAATTTGGTATTTTGTAGTCGTATATGGTAACAAATCTCCCCACCAAAAATTATTAATATTCACCCCTTTTTAGGGGTAGTCCCCATATAAACCCCTTTTTATATATAAAAATAGTTATATGATTTGTTCCGTGTGTTGCGGTTGGGTAGTCGTTACGGGGAATAGTCAATTTTTACCCTACAAAGACTTTTTAGCCATCTGTTTCAAGCATTCCGCCTTCTAAAGGTATTGTGATAAAAGAAACCTCAAACATGACGATAATGAAATATATCGGCAGACATTTAGGCATCTCCTCAATATAGTGATACCTCCTGAAGGAAAGGATTGAGATAAACAATTAAAATAATGGGTTCAATATTGGCATATACCGGTCATTAATTAGGCATAGCCCTCATATAATAATATCCCAAAATATTCACCATTTTCCTACACTATGTAATCAATATTAGTCCCCCTTTAGGCATAGACTCATATAACTTTGTAATCTAAATTACAGTAGTTTGAGGATTTCCTACCATGCGTTATCCGTATCAGTCCACTTTTTGGATCTTGCAGATTTTAGGAAAATCCCCATTAAAAATTGCTGAAGTTTGTATTTGGTGTACATAATGGTTTACATAAATCGGTTTGTAGAATTATAGGTATATACCCACTTTTTGGTATGTTCCCTATATTTTCATTACATATATCTGTCAGTATAACTATGGTGGAGGGTATCCAAAGTTCGGCCCCGCCGAACTTAACGCTTTTTCACTTGTTTCTGTTAATTGGTGTGGTACTCAAACATCGTGCATCTTTTTGAAGTCTGCTTTTTATAAATGGTTTAAGGGAACCCCCCCCCCCCCCATTCTCGATTTAAATTTTTCAAGATTTTCAATGGCCTGGTAAATCAATACCAATGCTTGTTAAGGTTTGTAACTTTGCACATATATAATTGAAGATTTAAAAGAGAAGAAAAATAATTTACAAAAAAATTTTGTTATTGTTTTGTTGTTGTTTTTTGTAATTAAAGAAAAGTCCTTATTTTTGATGGCGGGCATGATAACTCCTCACTGGAACATCGGAATCCGAAAATTCCAACGGTGTTAGAAAGAGTACATGTCTGGCTCTCGTATAAACTAGGATTATTGACTTCGCTCTAAAATTAACAAAATGGCGGACCTTTGAAAAAATATTTTTGAAAAATCGCCGATTTTTTACCAAAAACCAAGTTAAAAAATAAGGAAGATCTTCACCGATTGGCTTTATCCTAGTTCATACGGGAGCTATACGCTCCCAGAGAAACGTTGCAAAATTTGGAACCGATTGGATTATTAGTTTTTGAGTTATCGTGCCCGCCATTCGCAAAAAAATGTTTAGAGAAAAACGCGTTTAAAGTTTGAGAAGCCCTTCAGCCGTCACTTGATGCTGACACAATAAATCGGCTATATCTTCAAGAGTTCTTGATATTTTTACTTGAAATTTTGCAGGGACATTCTTGAATTAGTGTAGATTAGAATTAAGTCAACAAAAATTTTGACCCCGGGAATGGGGGGGTCCCCTTAAAACAGTTTTATGGTCGATTTTAGCGCCTGAGCGATGTTACGCCTGCTAATATGCCGGTCAACTCGATCATTTCTCCGATTTTATCGATATTTGTGTTTTAAGTTTCCGATTTTAAGTAAATCGAGCACAAAACTCTTAATGTTAGTTCGATTGACACCCAATTTTGCGTAACGTATCAAATTGAGAATGAAGTTATTAAAACATTCACTGTGGTAAACATTTTTTGATCAGCCCTCGATTCGTTTGAAGTATTTTTGAAAATTTTTTAATTCAGAACACTTCGATATACTGCACTTAAGAGATTTAGTGTGAAAATAGAAAATTATTGCATGCAATTTTTCCATAAATAACGGTTTTTATGAAAATACATCGACTTTGAAGTGGCCATATAATTAAAACATTGTGTGGGATTTTTTACTTTACTGCATTTTTTGAAAATATTTTTAGAAAAACTCTTCAATTTAGTTGAATTATGTAAACTAAGCACCGATAAAATCATTTACAGATAAAAATTTTTGAAAAAATCTGTAAAATCTATCAAAATTGCCAAAATTTTGTACAGTACACCTTACATTCAGATAATCACCCATATTATAGAAAATAAAGGTCCGAATGCACCAGAAATTGCTAGAATTAGTAGAAAACAATAAATAATTCTCAAAATAAATATTTGTAATAAAAACTCAAAAAATGGGAATTAACCTAAAGGAATGATTCAATTTCAGTAGCCTTTACTGAAGAAGGCCGGAATATTTTTGCAGTATGTGAGAAAAAATCGATTGATATTGGTATTTATTATATCAAATCGACTGTTCGAGTAGTACAGAATATATTTTATCAAAAAATATATCTGTAAAAAAAGAACGAACAGAGATCAACGCCTAGGTTGACGAGTAAAAGTTTCTGGCACACAGCAGCATGTTTGATGTTCAACTCATGACACTTAAAATCTATTGAACATGACAATATTTTTCCAAAATAATATTTTTTGAATCGAATAACTTCCACTTAATCTATTTTAGTATCAAGGAAGTAAAAATTTTACAGTTTGACAAAAATTTGAAGTCTTGCGTTTAACATCAAAAATGCTGCTGTGTGCCAGAAACTTTTACTCGTCAACCTAGGCGTTGATCTCTGTTCGTTCTTTTTTTACAGATATATTTTTTGATAAAATATATTCTGTACTACTCGAACAGTCGATTTCATATAATAAATACCAATATCAATCGATTTTTTCTCACATACTGCAAAAATATTCCGGCCTTCTTCAGTAAAGGCTACTGAAATTGAATCATTCCTTTAGGTTAATTCCCATTTTTTGAGTTTTTATTTCAAATATTTATTTATTTTGAGAATTATTTATTGTTTTCTACTAATTCTAGCAATTTCTGGTGCATTCGGACCTTTATTTTCTATAATATTGGTGATTATCTGAATGTAAGGTGTACTGTACAAATTTTTGGCAATTTTGATAGATTTTACAGATTTTTTCAAAAATGTTTATCTGTAAATGATTTTATCGGTGCTTAGTTTACATAATTCAACTAAATTGAAGAGTTTTTCTAAAAATATTTTCAAAAAATGCAGTAAAGTAAAAAATCCCACACAATGTTTTAATTATATGGCCACTTCAAAGTCGATGTATTTTCATAAAAACCGTTATTTATGGAAAAATTGCATGCAATAATTTTCTATTTTCACACTAAATCTCTTAAGTGCAGTATATCGAAGTGTTCTGAATTAAAAAAATTTCAAAAATACTTCAAACGAATCGAGGGCTGATCAAAAAATGTTTACCACAGTGGATGTTTTAATTCTGTGACCACCACTGTATATATTTAGAACGGGTTTCTGATTGGGCTTAAATTTTGAACAGTGCGGCATACCGAATTGCGTGTATCAAGTTTGCTTTAAATCGATTTACATAAATAGGTTGCAGAAAGGCATGTATATGGATTGCTGCTACTAGGGTTCACTTATAGATAAAGATCACATATTAAAGTCCGTTCAATTTCATGTAAATTTCCCTTCGAAAAGGCGACGTCTGTTAGGATACAAGTGTAGAATATACCCAAAGTGGTGAAGGATATCATATAGTCGACCCAGTCCGATTTTACTACTTTTCTTGCTGGTTTTTATTTTGTAGACCTCCGCAAACCATAGGATGAGCGTATATATTTATATTACGGTAAGGATATCTTCTACCGAATGAAAATCCAAAATTCTGGTTGAAAATTCCCCGAAATAACGAAATTTATGAGGTGCTTTCCCTAAAAAGTGGACAAATACTGATCAATTTTGGGAGGACGTTTTTATTACATATTAGAAACTAAAATATTAAATTACAGCCCATTCACTTGAAAGGAGTGTCGAAACTTCCCTAAATGCCAACAATTTTGAGGGTACATTTGGATGGGCCTACCCTCAAAATGGCATCAGTGTTGATATTTTTGTAGGAACCTTTTCCATCCAATGAAAATCCAAAATATCAAATTACATACAAATTTAAGGCAATTCGGTTAAAAACGTGTCCAAAGTCACGAATAAAAGGATTTGCCCTGAAACTTGGTCCATTATTGATAATTGTTGGTGGGAGATATAAAACCCAATGATAATCGGAAATTAAATTGAAAAATAAGCCCGTTAAATCACAATACCAAACATCCTAGGAACATTGGCAACATATGTAAAAAATTTCAAAGCTCTAAATTAAATATTATGAACTCTATCGTGAGGTCAACTATTTTGATCAAACGAAATTACAAATTTCTTAAATGAGCTATTTCATGGTGAGCTACACTTAATTTAGGTTTCAACATTTTGAGTTTTACTTTTAATAGAATTTATTTATGACTTCCCGACATCAAAAAAAAAAACAAAATCCAGTTGACATCATAAAATCGTTTAACAGTTGCCAAATCTGTCCTTGTTGTTTCCTAACACACCTGCCATGGACTTCCAATCCGCAGTAGGAAATAGTCTACCTTGTTATTGCTGAAATCTCACTGAATTTCCCTACCAAAAAAAATCATATATTATTTATAAATTACATATTCCACCACACCGATACCCACGAAAATCCTAAGCACATACAAGTCAACCTAAGCAGCATATTTATAAGCATTTAGCCTAAGAATTAATAGTCTAGTATTAAAACAATTTACGATTACAAACTTATATTTTTCGGGTTTTCTTCTCTTTTCATGTTTTTCTTTTCCCATTTTTTGCATAAATTCCACATAACCAACAATGAACTACGGATGACGATGATGTTGTTGATGACTGGCTTAAAATCAAATATGTATGTATGAATGTGTGCACATCGCTACAGTTCCGGAGGAAGTGGTACAGTCTAGAAATGCCCAAGGTAATGTCTACCGTTGGGTGGAAGCTTATCGCAAATATGGCCACAAATTGGCAGCCGTAAATCCCATCAGCATTAAAAGTCAACAAAGGTAATAAAGCAAAACAACAACAATAACAACGACAACAACAAAAAACGAATAGAATAAAAAACATAATACAAAAACTAAATAAAGAATGAAAGAAAAGGTAAATAAATGTGGCAAAAAAATACCCAAAAAGTTTAGAAAACACGCTGAACATATAACCAAACCTAACCGTACCAAAAATACAACAATGGGCCAAGCAACCACCCAACAATTCGCCAAAATAAGCCACTAGTCGTTCAACCATTTATTATTTTCTAACAACAGGACTATTTTCTTGTTTGCCTTTATTTCCTTACAACCTGTTCGTTGTCCTCGGTTCTTTTTTGTTTGCACACATTTACATTTGAACAAATGAAAATTGTTTAATACCAACAAAGATTTGTTTTCCTTTGTGCAGTTTTTCATCGTTGTTAGGAAGGTTGTGCAGATATTCACTATTTTGTGTTTGAAAAAAGGTTATAAGGAAATTCATGTTTGTCCTTATTAGATAGAATTTTTATATTTCTATCCTAATTTTTTTTTCACAGAAATATTGAAGATTTTGTATATGGGGGCAATGCCAAAATGTGAACCTATGTTGATCATTTTCATCACATATATTTATCACCTTTCGAAAATCCGGAATTCAGCTCCTTTGATCGGTGGCAGAAACCGTACAAATGTCGAAAGTGGGCGCGGAATCTTTTATATGGGGCCTATTTAAAACATGGTCCTAGAATTATCATTTTCTGCATAGATATATGCCTGCCTCCGAAAACCCGGATTGTCAAATTACAGCCACTTCTGCAGAAATCTTTAGTTAAAACCTTCAGAGTACCGTAAAACGAGTGAACAAATCTCATAAAATGTCAAGATGCAGTAATGGGCGCAAAATGTATCGAAGTCGACACGAGAACAACGGCTCTGTGGGGTACAATTTTTCAATAATACCTACTGAGGGTATACACCACCGGTCTTTATTAACTGACTATTTTTAGCAATACTAACTGACTATTTCGAAAAGAGCCGGACGGAGCCGACTTTATGATACCCTTCACCACTTTGAATATATACAAGAGATGCAAATATGTACAATATCCTATAGATAGAACATAGATATTTGAACCAATTAAAAACAAGGACGATAAATACAGAACTTAATTGTCGACATTTATCACAGGGCAAAACACAAACCAGTAAGGAAAGTAGTAAAGTCGGACCGGGTCGACTATATGTTACCCTTCACCACTTTGGGTATGTTGTACATATGAATCCTCACAATTGCATGTCACTGTTACTCGAAGGAACATGCTCATGTCCCTTCGGCAACCACTGATAAATTTAATTTCATTCGGGCAGATTTAGAGTAGTTTGCGTACCATGGGACAAATTTATGGAAAACGATTTATAGCAAAATTGATACACGCTATTCAGTACGCCGCAATGTTAAAAATTTAATTTCAATCAGACACCCGTTCGAAATACATATGGAAGCTATGGCTGCATCTGCACCAATTTCAACGATGCGCAATAACGTCATTCAAGTCTCAATTTGATACATTGTGCAAAATTTCGTGTTAATCGAACAAACATTAGGAGTTTGGTGCACCATTTATGTAAAATCGGAGGAATACATATCCATATGTTGGACCCATATCGAAATCTGAACCGATTTTCCCGAAACATCATTCTAGACTCAATTCTAGAATGATTCTAGACTCACTTCATTACTCTATGCCACATTTCGTGCAAATCGAAAGATATATAGGGACTTTGGCGCACCATTTACATAAAATCGGACGAAAATATATATGGGAGCTATATCTAAATCTGAACCGATTTTAAGGAAACTTGCCCGAGATTAATTTGTATCAATTTCAGTACGTTTTGCCAATCGGCCTAGCTATGGGTCTTTAGTACACCATTTACTTAAAATCGGACGAAAGTATACATTGTACAAAATTGTGTGCGGGTCGGCCAATCTTCGGGTATTGAGTGCACAATTTACATTAAATCGTACGAAAATATATATTGGAGCTATATCTAAATCTGAACCGATTTTCACGAAACATAGCACACATCATTCTGGACCTAATTCAGTACTCTGTGCAAAATTTCGTGCAAATCGAATGATATATAGGGACTTTGGTGAACCATTTACCTTAAATCGGACGAAACTATATATGGGAGCTATATCTATATCTGAACCGATTTTCTCGAAATTTTACACACATCGTTCTAGACTTAATTCAGTACTGTATTTTAAATTTCGTGGCAATCAAATGATATATAGGGACTTTGGTGCACCATTTTCCTTAAATCGGACGAAACTATATATGGGAGCTATATCTAAATCGGAACCAATTTTCCCGAAACTTTGCACACATCATTCTGGACCTAATTCAGTACTCTGTGCAAAATTTCGTGCAAATCGAATGATATATACGGACTTTGGTGCCCCATTTACCTTAAATCGGACGAAAATATATATGGGAGCTATATCTAGATCTGAACCGATTTCCACGAAATTTTACACACATCGTTTTAGACTTAATTAAGTACGCTATGTCAAATTTCGTGCAATTCGAAGGATATATAGGGACTTTTGGTGCACCATTTACGTAAAATCGGACGAAAATATATATGGGAGCTATATCTAAATCTGAACCGATTTTTCCCAATTTGCACACATAGGACCTAATTCAGTACTCTGTGCAAAATTTCGTGCCAAATAAGATATATGACTTGTGCCAATATATTCATCCAAATCGGATCATACACACATGCGACCTGTACTTTGTTTACAATTTAACATCTATAGACGGACAGAGACGGACGGACATACATAAATCGACTCAGAAAGTGATTCTATGCATATTCTCAAAAAGAACCATGTGTCTATCTCGTTTCCTTTTGCCTGTTACAAACATATGTACAAAGACATAATACCCTGTACCACAGTGTGGTGAAGGGTATAAAAATCCCATACACATACCATTCTGAAATCAATATTTCATGTCAAACGGACAGACTTGGATTCTTTGGTGTACCATTGTATGTAATGGAGCAAAATTGTGAATGGGAACTATATGTAATCATGGACCTAATTGAGCAACCGTTGCAACGAATCTTCGCACACACCAACCCGGACCTAATTCAGTACTCTGGACAAAATGTTCTCAATCGGACAAATATTGGGAGTTTGGTGCATCATTCACGTAAAATCGGACGAAACTATATATGGAAGCTATATCTAAATCTGAAACGAATCAGATTTAGGGTATAACAATTGTACGATACAAACTACATCAACGACTTCAAATGATTAAAAAAGGTTTACAAAGTCCAGATAACACAAAAATAGAAGCGGACGACCACTAACAATCTCTGAATGGGTCCTCGAAATTCATGAAAATTATCCCGAGTTCCAGGTCCATTTCCACTTCGGAGTTGAAAGCAAGAAGCTAAATTGTCTCCTCAGAGAATCGGAAAATTCAAATATTATTGTTGAGAAGTCTCAAAGTCCGTCTTCAAAATTGTTTTTGTTGTAGCAGCTTATACTGCTGTATATTTTCTCTTTAATCTGGCTCTGCTTCGAACTTCAGATAAAAAAGCTATGACCAGTACCAGTTTTGTTCGAAGAGAAGATGGGATTAGATAAGTGGGTTTGGCTGGAGAGATGAAGAGATGCCGGGCAGATATTGTCCATTTTGCCATCAATTAATGTGGCGCTTCGGCAATACGTGTTGATTTTCAGCAACTGAGTAGCATTCACAAATACTAGGGAATAGCAATGCCTTAAGTAAAATAGAGGACTTTGATTAGTTAATCTATTACTGGCTCATTAAGCTGCTTCATCATCATCATAGATATTCCATCCGGACCAAGCTCCTTGGATGATTTGGCACTTTTGATACCACTTGCAACAGCCTCCAACGTAAATTGTGGTGGTACCTCCTCCACTTGAAGAGATCGTATACTGCGAAATATGCTTATCTTCGCCCTGTCACACTCCCTCACCTCTTCGGATTTGTCACCTCAACGCTGTAAAATGAATCTGACGTCCAATTATCCTTCTGCGTTCGAGAACGACTTATCCAATTTTCCGCTTATGCTCGAAGACTAGCCTGTTTACTTCTATTGTCAGTTCTTTGATTCTGGGGTTAGTATGACGAGCTCATCACGCTCATTATGTAGTTGATGTATATGATAATAAAATTACAGGTTGCCAAGCCACATCATTCCTCAGACCTGGAGCCCCCTTATCCCGGTGGGTATGTCCTCAATCACCGTTCAAATTTGTAGCTATCTATTTCCTCGACCAGAATCATGTCCCTCTGGCCTTTACCTAGTATTTGCTAGGTTGACAGCCTTTGGTCGAAAATTGGTTTCTTCGAGTCAATCTGGTACATAGAACTGGAACCGGTTGCGTACTTCCAAAAGTAGTAGGTCAATATACGACACGGACGGACAGTGACTCCAAACAGTTTAAAGAATATTTTTTCAAGGTCTGCATGAGGCGTGGAGTTATTAAAGAATACGATCCACTTGAAGAGAGTGAAATTGTCACATCACCTATTTGTCACCTCAACGCTGTAAAATGAATCTGACGTCCAAGGAAAATTATCCAATTTTCCGCTTATGCTCGAAGGCGTTTACTTCTATTTTAGAAGTTAGCTCATCACGCTCATTATGAAGTTGATGTATATGATAATAAAATGACAGGTTGCCAAGCCACATCATTCCTCAGACCTGGAGACCCCTTATACCGCTGGGTATGTCCTCAATCACCGTTCAAATTTTTAGCTATCTATTTCCTCGACCAGAACCATGTCCCTCTGGCCTTTACCTAGTATTTGCTAGGTTGACAGCCTTTGGTCGAAAATTGGTTTCTTCGAGCCAATCTGGTACATAGAACTGGAACCGGTTGCGTACTTCCAAAAGTAGTAGGTCAATATACGATGTTTGGATAAAATCGGTTTCTTCCCTCGAGATTTATCTGACAGACGGACGGACATTTGCAAATCGACTCCAAATTGTCTGAAACGATTATTCACATTTTTGCCGTATCAAAGTGTATTAAATACTCTCATTAGCCATAAGACTGAGGGTATAACACCTAAAGGACTATTGGACAGAACAGATCGTACTTGCAAAATTTCTTGACAATTGATTTATAATTGCGGTTTGTACTTTCATTACGAAGCATAATGTACAGACGGACAGACGTACACACAAGTCTTGTTTCACTCAGCTAGTATATGACGATGTAGGTCTTGGACCACTATTACGTGGTATTACAAACCCTGTAGCCATAACAATTAAAAAGTGTCAGTTCGCGTTGACGACAGATATATACCCTCAGCACTATAAACTTATCCTCACTTTTGTATACCCTCCACCATAAATTGAATTTGTCATTCTGTTGCAACACATCGAAAAACCTCTCACCTCATTGGTTAGAAAGTCTACCTATCAAAAATTTTCAGTACCGGTGACGTTTCCATATAGACCACATATACCTACCCCGGTACTTTGGGGATTTTGGGGATTTTTCAATCGCATTTGGTCTTATCCTCACTTTAGGTATTTGGTATGTCAAACTCTTGACATTTTACATGTTTTATGTAAATAAGATCGATATATAAAAACTTCGAGGTATTTCAAAAACCCCATTACAATGTAGTTGTGTAGGGTTTATAAATACAAAATAATTAATCTTTCGAATATTTATCCAATTTTATATAATTTGTTTCATTCTCTTCTTCTATGCCACAGTTTTTTGGAAGAATTAAATCCTGTATTTTATGGCCTCCAAGGCAAAGAATCCGTCCAACCACAAGGTATATTAAATGCACCAGAATTGGCTAGTCAAACAACGACTGTGGAAGAATTGGAGAGATTATTGAAAGAAATTTATTGCGGTACAACAGTGAGTGCGGAATTTGGTTATGTGGAGGTAAGTGCATTAGTTATTGTTTTTTTTTAATGGGTGTGAAAAAAAAAATATATATAGTTAATATTTTTTACACCACTTTGTGACACAATGTATTGTCTTCGCACATATGTTTGTAACATGACATAGGAAATAGACTCATAGTTATTTTTGAGACATTTTGCACACCTAGTCCATCATGCTACGTCTGCCGATCAATCCAATATAAACTTTGCTTCTCTAAAGGTTTTTTTAAGAATATTTTTTCAACGAATATATATGTAAGGCGTGGATATTTTAAAGAACATTTTTTCAATGATAATATGTGGCGTAGATTTGTATACCCTTCACCACACTGTGGTACAGGGTATTATGTCTTTGTGCATATGTTTGTAACAGCCAAAAATAATCGAGATAGACCCATGGTTCCTTTTGAGAATATGCATAGAATCACTTTCTAAGTCGATTTATGCATGTCCGTCCGTCCGTCCGTGTCTGTCCATGTTAAATTGTTACAGGTCGCATTTATGATCCGAATTTTTTGGCACAACTCATTTGTTTGGCCCAACGAACTATTGAAATTGAGAAAAATCGGTTCAGATTTAGATATAGCTCCCATATATATTTTCGTCCGATTTAAGGTAAATGGTGCACCAAAGTCCCCATATATCTTTCGATTTTCACGAAATTTAGCACAGCGTAATGAATAAGGTAACGAGTGATGTTTGCCAAGTTTCGTGAAAATCGGTTCAGATTTAGATATAGCTAGTCCTATTTAAGGTAAATGGTGCAACAAAGTCCTTATATACCTTTCGATTTGCACGAAATTTGGCACAGCGTAATGAATTAGGTAGAAAATGATGAGTGCGAAGTTTCGTGGAAATCGGTTCAGATTTAGATATAGCTCCTATATATAGTTTCGCCCAATTTTAGATAAATCGTCCACTAAAGTCCCTGGAAATCTTTTGATGTAAACGAAATTTGGCACAGAGTTATGAATAATATGAATAATGTCTGCCAAGTTTCATGAAAATCGGTTCAGATTAAGATAAAGCTCCCATATGCATTTTCATCCGATTTAAGGTAATTGGTGCACCAAAGACCCTATATATCTTTCGATTTGCACAAATTTTGGTATAGGGTACTGAATTAAGTCTTGAATGATGTTGCGTGAAAAGATACATAGCTAGGCCGATTGACACAACGTACTGATTTTATATAAATTTTTTTTGGCAAGTTTCCCTGAAATCGGTTCAGATATAGATTTATAACAAAACGCGTCGTTTTAGGATACATATGTAAAATATTTTTCAAGTCGGCCCAGTCCGACTTTATTACTTTCCTTACTGGTTTAAAGAACATTTTGTCAATGATAATATAAGGCGGCGACTTTTTAAAGAACATTTTTTTCAATGATAATATAATAATATTTTTTTGACGAACATGTTTTTTCCAATACCATCGACAGGATATTTTACACATACACAGAGGAACATGTGCTAAGATTCGTTTAGGAGCACCTCTTGTATATACCTATAATAGTGTAGGGTCGTATTTATTTATTTTTTTTTATTTCTATAATTTCTTTTTCAGAATCTAGAAGAACGTGAATGGTTGGCCACACATTTCGAACGGCTGCGTTCGGAGAGCCAACAATATCTCAGCAATGACAATCGCAAACAAATCGCTGAATTATTAATTAAATCGCAGGCATGGGATAATTTTATGGCAACGAAATTTCCAACGGTTAAACGTTATGGCGGTGAGGGTGCCGAAAGTTTAATGGCATTCTTTTGGCAATTATTGCGGAATAGTGTACAAGGTATGATTTTTTTTATTTAGCATATTTATTCATACACATTTTTTGCCAGCTCAGCATGGGCAGCACCTCATAATTTGTATTTTATTTTGTAATTTTTGGTCGACATTTTCCAATGGCAACGATGCCATTAGAAAGATAACAACTAAAATGGGATTCAAGTTTTGTCCCTTTTCCATGCCCTCCATAAGGCCTTGTCATTTTTTCTGTTGGTTATTTGTCCAGCCAATAATTTCTGACTTTATACAAATTTAATGAAGATATATGTTGGAAAAAAGAACCCGAAAATTTTTTTCCTTGGGTAAAAGATAACCCAGAAAAAAACAGCTAGTGTGCAGGAAACAGAACTTTTTTGTGCCTTTATTGGGCAGCCCTTTTAACGTGCTCTCCATACAAATGTTCCATTTCCCGTTTGCATTTGTATGTGTGTGTATCTGTGTCAAACGGACGGGAAACAATGAAAGGACATGGTTCTTTTTTCATTCCGACTGCTATCAAAGAGCATGAATATTTAATTTCATTGCAATTTCGTTTTGTGTAGTTTTTTTTTCTTCTTCTTTTCTTTCTTTTCGGTTCCTTTTTTACGAATTCCGCCACTTCTGCTTATTTGTTATCTGTAATTGAATAATTTTTGTTAACACCAAAGTGGCTTAATTATAAAAATGAGTTTTCTTTTAATCAGAAGCTGGTGCTGCGCCACTGACGTGTCCTGCTCCCATTTAAAGTTTTTTAATTATTTCAATGGAAATTGTTGATGTTGTTGTTGTTGGACTATCAAAATTTTAAAGTGTTTACTTTATGGTAGCCCGTTTTATGTATAGCCCTTAGGTCTGTTTTATGGATTAATATGTTCGGCAAAGTTTGATTGTCGATTAGAATTAAGAAATTACTTTTAAGCCTTTAGACTATCAACGGCAATAAATAAGTTCGGCAATGAAAATTATATGGCAGGGATAATGGCAAAGGAATTAAAATTTTGTACTCATTTGAGATATCATCAGGATGTCTCATACAATTTGGAATAAAAGAAGAATTAAAGGGATGTTCGATGCTGAAAATATCCTATCCGAACTTTTTTCAAGGATCCATCTAAGGCGTGGATTTATTAAAGAATATTTTTTCAAGGGTCCATCTAAGGCGTGGAGTTATTAAAGAATATTTTTTCAAGGGCCAACTGAGGCGTGGAGTTATTAAAGAATATTTTTCAAGGGCCAACTGAGGCGTGGATTTATTAAAGAATATTTTTCAAGGGCCAACTGAGGCGTGGATTTATTAAAGAATATTTTTCAAGGGCCAACTGAGGCGTGGATTTATTAAAGAATATTTTTCAAGGGCCAACTGAGGCGTGGATTTATTAAAGAATATTTTTCAAGGGCCAACTGAGGCGTGGATTTATTAAAGAATATTTTTCAAGGGCCAACTGAGGCGTGGATTTATTAAAGAATATTTTTCAAGGGCCAACTGAGGCGTGGATTTATTAAAGAATATTTTTCACGGGCCAACTGAGGCGTGGATTTATTAAAGAATATTTTTTCAAGGGCCAACTGAGGCGTGGATTTATTAAAGAATATTTTTCAAGGGCCAACTGAGGCGTGGATTTATTAAAGAATATTTTTCAAGGGCCAATGAGGCGTGGATTTATTAAAGAATATTTTTCAAGGGCCAACTGAGGCGTGGATTTATTAAAGAATATTTTTCAAGGGCCAACTGAGGCGTGGATTTATTAAAGAATATTTTTTCACTGAGGCGTGGATTTATTAAAGAATATTTTTCAAGGGCCAACTGAGGCGTGGATTTATTAAAGAATATTTTTCAAGGGCCAACTGAGGCGTGGATTTATTAAAGAATATTTTTCAAGGGCCAACTGAGGCGTGGATTTATTAAAGAATATTTTTCAAGGGCCAACTGAGGCGTGGAGTTATTAAAGAATATTTTTTCAAGGTCTGCATGAGGCGTGGAGTTATTAAAGAATATTTTTTCAAGGTCTGCATGAGGCGTGGAGTTATTAAAGAATATTTTTCAAGGGCCAACTGAGGCGTGGAGTTATTAAAGAATATTTTTTCAAGGGCCAACTGAGGCGTGGAGTTATTAAAGAATATTTTTCAAGGGCCAACTGAGGCGTGGAGTTATTAAAGAATACACTAATTCTACCTCTCAACCTCTCTTCCCCCTTTTATATACGTTTCATAACAGATGATCTTGAACACATTGTGGTTGCTATGCCACATCGTGGCCGAACAGCATTACAAACCATACTGCTGCAAATGAGACCGGTAAAAGTTTTCCATAAACTCAGTGGTGAATCGGAATTTCCAGATGGTTGCCAAGCCATGTCAGATGTAATAAGTCATTTTCGTAAGTATTTTTGGTGAACACGTTTTTCTATTCTATTAGCCAGGCAAGGCCAGCCTCTGGCAAATGATTTATGATTGCCAAAATAAAATATTTTCGAAAAATATGTTATATGCATCGCTAATAATGATATATTATTGTGTGTGTGTTTTGAATGTTTAAACAGATATCTCCGAAGATTTACAAGTCGATGGTAAAACCATACATTTCAGTATGGTAAGGAACCCGTCACATTTAGAGGTAGGTTGGCCATAAAATATTCTACAAAGCTTGATTGATTATTTGTATCCCCTTGTTTAGGCTGCCAATCCCGTGGCAATGGGTAAAACACGCTCCAAACAACAAACCCTCAAAGATGGTGCATTCAGTGATGAGGCTGAGAAGCCGTTTGCCTCCGCGGCTTTGAATGTCATTCTGCATGGTGATGCTGCCTTTGCTGGGCAGGGTATAAATCAAGAATGCTTGAATATGGCCTATGTTCCACATTTTGAAATTGGTGGCAGTATTCATTTGATTGTCAATAATCAAGTTGGATTTACCACACCTGGAGATAGAGGACGTTCGACCGATTACTCTTCGGATTTGGCTAAAACAATACAGGCACCAGTATTTCATGTTAATGGTGATGATCCGGAAATGGTTGCATTGGTAACCAAATTGGCTTTTGATTATCAACGGCAATTCCGCAAAGATGTTTTTATTGATATGAACTGCTTCCGTCGTTGGGGTCATAATGAGCTGGATGACCCGACATTTACGAATCCTAAAGTTTATAGTATTATTAATAATCGCAAGTAAGTAAAAGTCAGAGGTACATGGCGGTACATATTAATTCTTAGTCATTACTAATACGCCACAGGGTCCCATGATTTATATAGGACCTCAGTAGTATTAAGGTTAGGGTCAATAAAAGGTCTGGATTTTTTGAAGAATTGTTTAGGGACCAACAGGCGTAGATTTTTTAAAGAAGATTTTTTCAAAGGCCATATAAGGTGTGGATTTTTTAAAGAAGATTTTTCCAAAGGCCATATGAGGCGTGGATTTTTTTAAAGAAGATTTTTTCAAAGGCCATATAAGGCGTGGATTTTTTAAAGAAGATTTGTTCAAAGGTCATATAAGGCATGGATTTTTTAAAGAAGATTTTTTCAAGGGTCCATCTAAGGCGTGGATTTTTTAAAGAAGATTTTTTCAAGGGTCCATCTAAGGCGTGGATTTTTTAAAGAATATTTTTTCAAGGGTCTATCTAAGGCGTGGATTTTTTAAAGAATATTTTTTCAAGGGTCCATCTAAGGCGTGGATTTTTTAAAGAAGATTTTTTCAAGGGTCCATCTAAGGCGTGGATTTTTTAAAGAAGATTTTTTCAAGGGTCCATCTAAGGCGTGGATTTTTTAAAGAAGATTTTTTCAAGGGTCCATCTAAGGCGTGGATTTTTTAAAGAAGATTTTTTCAAGGGTCCATCTAAGGCGTGGATTTTTTAAAGAAGATTTTTTCAAGGGTCCATCTAAGGCGTGGATTTTTTAAAGAAGATTTTTTCAAGGGTCCATCTAAGGCGTGGATTTTTTAAAGAAGATTTTTTCAAGGGTCCATATAAGGCGTAGATTTTTTAAAGAATATTTTTTCAAGGGTCCATCTAAGACGTTTATTTATTATTAGGTTAAATCTCAGGTGTGGATTTTTTAAAGAAGATTTTTTCAAGGGTCCATCTAAGGTGTGGATTTTTTAAAGAAGATTTTTTCAAGGGTCAATCTAAGGGTTGGTATTTTTAAAGAAGATTTTTTCAAGGGTCCATCAAAGGTGTGGATTTTTTTAAAAAATATTTATTCAAGGGTCCATATAAGGCGTGGATTTTTAAAAGTATATTTTTCAGGCATAGTTTTTTATTTATTTTTTTAATTTACCATCAAGTCACTGTCATTTATTTCAAATTTATTATTAATGATGGTTTTCCTCCCACCAGATCCGTTCCTGATTTATATACTGAAAAATTAGCACAACTATCAGTACTAAGCCCCGAGGAAGCTGCTGGCATTCGTAAACAATACATGGACTATCTCAACGAGGAATTGTTGTTGGTGCCAAATTACAAACCCGAACCGAACTATTTCCAAAAACAATGGAAACACATTACCACAGCATCTAATGATTTGATAACCTATTGGGACACCGGCCTCGACTATGGTCTACTCAATTATATTGGACAACAAAGTGTGGCATACCCCGAAGGCTTTGTAAGTGACACTTCTAGTGAACAATGAATTGACATAACAAATTAGGAACAAAAGTTACTAATAACAGCAACAACAACGGCAACAAAAAGCGTATTAATTAATGCCAATGATTAATGGATATTTAAAAACCTCTTTCGATGCCATTGAAAGTTTTCATGTTGTTCCCTCCTTGATTCATTCATTTATTTGTTTTGTTTTCATTCTTGTCTTGCTTTGTTTTGCAGAAAATTCACCCTCATCTCAAAAAGACCCATGTCGATGGTCGTCGCAAAAAACTCAATGAAGGACAGAAAATCGATTGGGCCACAGCAGAAGCTTTAGCCTTAGGCAGCCTTATGTACCAGGGCTACAATGTTCGGATAAGTGGTGAAGATGTTGGACGTGGCACCTTTTCACACCGTCATGTCATGTTGGTCGATCAGGAGAGCAATGAAATGTTCATACCATTGAATGGCTTAAACGATGGTAAATCGGGTAAATTGGAGGTAGCACACAGTATTCTATCCGAAGAAGCGGTGTTGGCCTATGAATATGGGATGGCAATTGATAATCCCGATAATCTGATTATATGGGAAGCACAATTTGGCGACTTTGCAAATGGAGCGCAGATTATCATTGATAATTTTATTATTTCCGGTGAAAGTGAGTATGGGCAGAATTTTGGACATTTTTAGAATATTTTTCAAGGATCATATAAGGCGTGGATTTTTTAAAGAATGCTTTTCAAAGCCTATCATAAGCGTGGATTTTTTAAAGAATGTGTTTCAAGGCCTATCATAGGCGTGGATTTTTTAAAAAATGCTTTTCAAGACCTATCATAGGCGTGTATTTTTTAAGAATGTTTTTCAAGGCCTATCATAGGCGTGGATTTTTTAAAGAATATTTTTCAAGGCCTATCATAGTCGTGGATTTTTTAATGAATGTTTTTCAAGGCCTATCATAGGCGTGGATTTTTTAAAGAATATTTTTCAAGGCCTATCATAGTCGTGGATTTTTTAATGAATGTTTTTCAAGGCCTATCATAGGCGTGTATTTTTTAAGAATGTTTTTCAAGGCCTATCATAGGCGTGGATTTTTTAAAGAATATTTTTCAAGGCCTATCATAGTCGTGGATTTTTTAAAGAATATTTTTCAAGGCCTATCATAGGCTTTGATTTTTTAAAGAATGCTTTTCAAGGCCTATCATAGGCGTGGATTTTTTAAAGAATGTTTTTCAAGGCCTATCATAGGCGTGGATTTTTTAAAGAATGGTTTTCAAGGCCTATCATAGGCGTGGATTTTTTAAAGAATGTTTTTCAAGGTATATAATAAGCGTGGATTTTTAAAGAATGTTTTTCAAGGTCTATCATAGGCGTGGATTTTTTAAAGAATGTTTTTCAAGGTCTATCATAGGCGTGGATTTTTTTAGGGTATGTTTTTCAAGGCCTATCATAGGCGTGGATTTTTTAAAGAATGTTTTTCAAGGTCTATCATAGGCGTGGATTTTTTTAGGGAATGTTTTTCAAGGCCTATCATAGGCGTGGATTTTTTTAGGGAATGTTTTTCAAGGCCTATCATAGGCGTGGATTTTTTAAACAATGTTTTTCAAGGCCTATCATAGGCGTGGATTTTTTAAACAATGTTTTTCAAGGCCTATCATAGGCGTGGATTTTTTAAACAATGTTTTTCAAGGCCTATCATAGGCGTGGATTTTTTAAAGAATGTTTTTCAAGGCCTATCATAGGCGTGGATTTTTTAAAGAATGTTTTTCAAGGCCTATCATAGGCGTGGATTTTTTAAATAATGTTTTTCAAGGCCTATCATAGGCGTGGATTTTTTAAATAATGTTTTTCAAGGCCTATCATAGGCGTGGATTTTTTAAATAATGTTTTTCAAGGCCTATCATAGGCGTGGATTTTTTAAATAATGTTTTTCAAGGCCTATCATAGGCGTGGATTTTTTAAATAATGTTTTTCAAGGCCTATCATAGGCGTGGATTTTTTAAATAATGTTTTTCAAGGCCTATCATAGGCGTGGATTTTTTAAATAATGTTTTTCAAGGCCTATCATAGGCGTGGATTTTTTAAATAATGTTTTTCAAGGCCTATCATAGGCGTGGATTTTTTAAATAATGTTTTTCAAGGCCTATCATAGGCGTGGATTTTTTAAATAATGTTTTTCAAGGCCTATCATAGGCGTGGATTTTTTAAATAATGTTTTTCAAGGCCTATCATAGGCGTGGATTTTTTAAATAATGTTTTTCAAGGCCTATCATAGGCGTGGATTTTTTAAATAATGTTTTTCAAGGCCTATCATAGGCGTGGATTTTTTAAATAATGTTTTTCAAGGCCTATCATAGGCGTGGATTTTTTAAATAATGTTTTTCAAGGCCTATCATAGGCGTGGATTTTTTAAATAATGTTTTTCAAGGCCTATCATAGGCGTGGATTTTTTAAATAATGTTTTTCAAGGCCTATCATAGGCGTGGATTTTTTAAATAATGTTTTTCAAGGCCTATCATAGGCGTGGATTTTTTAAATAATGTTTTTCAAGGCCTATCATAGGCGTGGATTTTTTAAATAATGTTTTTCAAGGCCTATCATAGGCGTGGATTTTTTAAATAATGTTTTTCAAGGCCTATCATAGGCGTGGATTTTTTAAATAATGTTTTTCAAGGCCTATCATAGGCGTGGATTTTTTAAATAATGTTTTTCAAGGCCTATCATAGGCGTGGATTTTTTAAATAATGTTTTTCAAGGCCTATCATAGGCGTGGATTTTTTAAATAATGTTTTTCAAGGCCTATCATAGGCGTGGATTTTTTAAAGAATGTTTTTTTAAATCTGAAAATCCAAATTCTTTTTCTTTACAGCAAAATGGATGGACTCCAACGGTTTGGTGATACTCCTACCCCACGGCTATGACGGTGCCGCGTCCGAGCACAGTTCCTGTCGCATTGAACGTTTCCTTCAACTATGCGATTCCAAAGAGACTGCTCCGGATAGTGATAATGTTAATGTACAAATTGTCAATCCCACAACACCGGCTCAATATTTCCATGTATTACGCAGACAATTAGTTCGTAATTTCCGTAAACCCTTAGTTGTGGTTGCACCAAAAATTCTGCTACGTTTATCTGCGGCCACATCCACCTATAAGGACTTTGAACCGGGTACACAATTTTTAAATGTTTTGGGTGATACAACCAGCGTCCGACCTGATGCCGTGAAACGTGTCATTTTGTGTTCGGGTAAACATTATTACGCTCTTGACGAAGTTCGCCAGGCAAAGAATTTACAAGATACTGCCATCATAAGACTAGAATCACTGTGCCCCTTCCCCACCTATGAACTGCAAAAGGAATTGGAGAAATACAAAAATGCTAAAAGTGAGGATGATTTGATTTTTTTTTTATTATTATTTGGGAATTAATTTTGAATGATTTTTTTTTATTTCAGCTTTCATTTGGGCCCAGGAGGAACATCGCAATATGGGCGCATGGACATTTGTCCAACCACGTTTTGAAAATTTGCTGGGACAAAAGGTAAAGGAAATTAATTTCTAATTGTATGAAGAGATTATTTTGTTGGACTTTGAGAACTCTTCTATAGTTTGAGGATCTTAGAAGACTTCGAACGAGTTTTGTAGATAAAAAGGATTTTTGAATAGCATGCTTTGGTTAGAGACCTCAAGGAGAACGTTGAGAATTTCCTTGCGATAGAAGACATTTTTAGAAAGTGTGCAGACAATTTTCAACCTTTACCTATAAATAGATATTTTAAAATAACATAACCTCTGATAAAATGTGGTTACTTATTTAAATGTTTTTTAATATTTTATAACTTATGTTAATATTGAGTTCAGATTTCAGTTCCATGACTTGGTCCACATATTGTTTTTATAATTTTTCCATATCCTTTATCCTCTTGATTTTCGAAAATTGACAACCATAACTGCATTGCAGTTTCTCCACTTCTCATATCCCTCCATAAACTGTTTCAATTAAAAGTCAATTCACAACAAAAAATTGTTGTCTTTTGATGCAGCTACCGCATAGCATTTATACACACGCTCGCCAACACACATCTACACTTAAAACTCTTAAGTGAACAATTATTGCCAGCGTTACAATTTTTTTTAATCTTTTGTCATAATCGCATTTACAACTTAAATAACTTTCCGACTTAATTGTTTGAATTCAACTTCAAAATCTTGTAAACGCATTCTCATGTTCCAGAATCGTACATACGATACTGAAAAGTATTTCCTACAACCGCTTCCGTGCAACAACTGCATCTTGGTCTTACAGAGGAAAATAATTCATAGCAAAAGTATTTATTTTTTTATACATATCTGTTAAGCTTTACTATTGTGGTACACTGAGATTAAGGGGAAAAGGTTTAAGAAATATATCGGATTTTTTTCTAAAGAATACGCAGATATTTTTCTTATAAAAAAGACAATGGACTTCCTTATTAAAAGGTCAGGAGGTTTGTCTTATAAAAGGCTAGAACTTATTTTGAAGGAACACCAGAAGGATCCCCTTTAGAAGGTCAGAACTTCTTCTCCAAGAATGTTGGAAGGTTTTTATAGGAAGCCTTTATTGGTCTTTCTATAAGGAGCCCTTCTGTAAAATATCTTGTTCTTCTTATAGGAAGAAAAATAAAGACTTCTTACAGACTACCAGAAGCCGTTGTCATAGATTTCAAAAGTTCTTATTATATGAGGGCAGGAATCCGAAAAGTCTTCTCAAAGAAGTGCAGGAGGTATTGAAGGTCTTTCCACATATAAAGACAGGAGGGTTTCTCAGGCCAAAAGGTCCATTGCTATAAGGTCGGAAGGTATTTTTATAGAATGGCAGAAGGTCTTTTCATAGAAGGCAGTAAAGTCGTATCATAGAAGTTACTGGACAGTAGATATTTCTTACAAAGGACCATAAAAGAGAAGTTTTGATCGAAATTTTAAATTGCTTTTCTAAGGAGGCCCAAAGGACTTCTCATAGAAGGGCAGAACATCTTCTTACACAAAGTCGGAAGAGTTTCTCATCGGATTCCAGAAGAGGTTCTTGTAAAAGATTTTTTTTCAAAGAAGGTCAGAAGGTATTTTCATTGAAGGACAGTTGTTGTTGTAGCAGCCCTATTGCTTTTACACAATGGGCTGAGGTGACAGACGTTGGCCGAGAAATACTCGGGTCGTTTCGGATCGTAGACCCCTCTGTCGTGGAAACGATCGAAGGGCACTAGATATTCTTTGCGAAAGTCTAGAGAAGATCTTCTTATAGAAAATCAGTATGTCTTCTCACAGACCACCAGAAGGTATTTTTATAGTCTTCTTTTTATGGTCTTCTTTTAGAAGACTAGTAGGCATATAGACTTCTAAGAAAATACGTTATAGCTTTCTAGCCCTCTATGAAAAAAACCTCCTGGACTTTTATGAGAAGATCTTCTGACCTTCTATGAGAATATCTTGTGACCATATAGAAGAATACGTTTTGTCCTCCTGTGAGTTCCTGATGTAATATGGGAACACCTTCTGGCCTTGCTCACAGAAGAGCAGAAGATATCCTTTTAAATGTTATGGGTGCCTTGGTGTGGAAGTACTGGATCTTCATCATATGGAATGATTTTTTCATAGAAAAACAAAAGATTTTCTTATAAAAGATCAGGTGTCCGTTTTTTTTAAAAGTGCGATGGTCTTCTTGTTGAATATTCAGAAATCCTTATTATGGAAGGCTTCGAAGGGTTTCAGTCTTTGAAGATTTATTTTCCTACTTTTCCTTCGAAGTCCTTCTTATGGAAGATCTAAAGGGATTTCAGCCTTTGGATTTTTTAATTTAATTTTTCTATTTTTCTTCCGATTTTTTAGATATAATAAAATATATATTTTTCTCTCTGTGTATTTAATTATTAATTTTTTTCATTTTCTTTTCTTCTTTGTTTTCCTTTTTCTTGCATCCTCCAACAGCTTGTCTACTGTGGACGTGTTGAGGCGCCAACATCTGCAACTGGCATTGGCAAAGTGCACAAACGTGAAGTTGAGGAAATTTTACAGAGACCCTTTCAGCTGTAATGGGCAACCAGACTAACGACCACACTAACGATGCCGATGTTGACGATAACGATGAAGACGACACGAGTTGTATATACATAGATCTATATATATGAATACCAAAAAAAAAAAACAGCGAACTGACCACCAACTACCATTTTCAAGCAGAATAAAATAAAAACACAAACAAATTTACGTTAAGGCAACAAGCCAACAGGATGGCGGATGGCCATCAACAAGCATTCCATGGAGAGCAAACATGCAGCCAGCGACTTAAATACATTCACATATAGAGGCATACAAATGAACAATCCCACCCAACCAAGTCGGGTTGGTGGTTTCCCTTTAACATCTATATCATTTCCAGTGGACAACTTTTGTTTAACAAGGAAATTTAATAAATATGAAGTCAGTCAGTGGAGGCCCATACCCCACCACCGTCCAACAAGGAAGACAAACTGTATATAAATGTCTATCAATATTCATTCTATAAGAGTGGACAGATGCAGCCCTGACATTGTGCCAAATAAAATAAGGATGCTGCCTGCCGACCAGCCAACCAGTCAGTTAACCAAGCATCCATTTGGTTATCCAGTTTGCCTGATTTAATATGGGTTTTGTTATTGTTTTATAAACTGCCATAAAAAAATAATAATTTTTTAATAGCTTCTTCTTCTATGAATGATTCTATGCTTCAATCGGGTAACCATAAAATGGCAGTAAAGGAATTGAGATGTTTGCTTGTCAGTGATTCCTCTTTGTTATTTGCTGTTGCGGTCGTAACAAACACACACACCCAAACCAACATTTAAATATAATAGTATAGCTCCATAAAATCCTTTTCTTTAGATATTAATTTAATTACAATGTTGTTTAATTTTAAGAAAATTGTTCATAATTAAAAACACAATAAATTTTTAATAATAACGAACCTAATTTGTATTTGGAAAAGTTTGACCTTGTTTTTTGAACTTTTGCTCCTTTGACAGTTGGTTATTGCCGAATGAATTTGGAGTTGAAAGGGGACGACATTGAGGTTATATTGATCGAGACTTTTGGTTTTATTATACGAAATCCGTTTATTCTATTATACGAATAGAGGAAATCATTTATTTGTCTAATATACGAATAGCACTATGGAATGTCTAAATAAGACGATCTGATTTTTTATAATATGACCTATTGGCCCTCTATAAGCACATCTTCCATGATTATTTGAGAAGACTTTTTTGTCCTTCTTCTTTGAGAAGATTTAATTGTTTTTTTTCTTCTTTATTTATTTATTTATTGAGCTTCCTTTGCATGAAATTTGGCACCTTGAATTAAGTTTAGTATGTCTAATCGCGAAAAAAATCCTGATATAGCGTATATATTTTCTCCGATTTATATAAAACCATTTTCTCTTTCGATTTCAAGGAAGAAAATTTGGCCTTCTATAAAGAAGATGTTAGCCTTTATATATACGTATATATTTTTCCTTTAAAGTAAATGGGTCTCCAAAAATCTTTCGATTTGCACGAAATTTGGCATTGGGCACTGAATTGGGTCTAGAATGATGTGTGCTAAGTTTCGTAAAGTTAGCTTAAAGTCTATTTAAAAAGTATGAAATCAATGTTCCTTCGAAAAGACGACATCTGTAACGATACATATGTAGAATATCCCCAAAGTGGTGAAGGGTATCATATAGTCGGCCCAACCCGACTTTACTACTTTCCTTGCTGGTTTATAATATAACCTATTGGCCCTCTATAAACACATTTTCCATGATTATTTGAGAAGATTTTTTCGTCCTTCTTCTTTGAGAAGATTTAATTGTTTTTTTTTCTTTATTTATTGAGCTTCCTTTAGAGTACTTTCTGGTATTCTAATCGAAAAATCCTGGCCTCGTATTTAAAATGCCCTTCTCTGAAGAAATCCTCCCGGCTTTCTACGAAGAAAACTTCTCGACCTTCTATAAAGAAGATTTACTTCTATGAAGAATACCTTCTTTCCTTCTATGAAGAATACCTTCTTTCCTTCTATGCAGAATACCTTCTGGCCTTCTATGAAGAAGCCCTTCTGGCCTTCTATGAAGAAGCCCTTCTGGCCTTCTATGAAGAAGCCCTTCTGGCCTTCTATGAAGAAGCCCTTCTGGCCTTCTATGAAGAAGCCCTACTGGCCTTCTATGAAGAAGCCCTACTGGCCTTCTATGAAGAAGATCTTCTGGCCTTCTATGAGGAAGACCTTCTGGCCTTCTATTAAGAAGAAATTCTGGCCTTCTATGAAGAAGACCTTCTGGCCTTCTATGAAGAAGACATTCAGCCAATCTATGAAGAGAACCTGTTGGTCTTCCCTGAATAAGACCTTCTGGCTTTCTATAAAGAAGACTTTCTGGCCTTCCAAAAGAAGAAGACCTTCTGACTTTCTCTGAAGAAGACCTTCTGGCCTTCTATAAAGAAGACCGTCTGGCCTTCAGTGATAAAGACCTTCTGGCCTCTATGAAGATGATCTTTTGGCGTTCTATGAAGAATACCTTCTGGCTTGTGAAGAAGACCTTCTTGGCTTCTATGAACACTTTTTGGGCTTATACGAAGAAGACTTTGTGGCCTTCTATGAGGAATACATTTTGGCCTTCTTTAAAGATAACATTCTGACCTTCTATAAGGAAGACCTTTTACAGTCTATGAAGAATACCTTCTGGCCGTCTGTGAAGAAGACCTCCTGGCCTTCTGTGACTATGAAGAATACCTTCTGGCTTTCTATGAAGATGACATTTCGGCCTGCTATGAAGAAAACATTGTATGAAAAATACCTTCCTTTTGGTAGAAGGCCCTATCTATGGCAAGGCCTTCTGAAATTATTTAGTATTATTTAAGGAATAGGTCTTCTCTGGTGTTCGAAAATATATTTGACATCCTAAGTTGAGATCTTGTGGCCTTCTATAAGATAACTACCTCGCTTTCTGTGTGGAAAGGTTCGCGTCTTCGGAAAAAGGGGACTTCTATGATCATACATCTGAACTTCTTTGGGAAGACCGTCAGACATCTGACATTAGGGTCCTATATGAAAGATAAGATTAGACCTTCCGATCTTCTCTGCAGAAGAAGCTCTTCTATAAAGAAGGAGCAGGCCTTCAGCTCTTATGTTGGGAAGGAGAATACATCGGATCCTCTTTGACCCTTCGGATCCTCTTTGATCCTTCTAAAGTTTGAGTTTTCCAAGGACTATCCAAGGCGTAGATTTTTAAAGTTTGAGTTTTTCAAGGACAATCTAATGCGTGTATTTTTAAGGTTTGAGTTTTTCAAGGACTATCCATTTTAACTTCTTGTCTGCTACCTGAATACCATGTGGTGATCTTGTGGCTTTTTGGAGATAAGCCTCTAGTTCTGCTTTAAGTAAGAACTCAATTCTATTTACATTTTTTTGTTGAATACTTTTATTTGAGAATATATTGTTTGTGTGGTTATAAATTCGTTTAAAAAGCGTTGTAAATATAAGAGTATGCGGGCGATATAAGTGTGGGGGTGTGGGTTAGTCATATCATATAAAATATTTCATTGATTATAAATAATTATTTATATATGTAGGCTTATTACAAAAATGACACTAAGTTTAACATAACTTTAATACACGGACTTGATTCAAACATTTACAAAATAATTTTTTTCTCTCTTAAATTTATAATTAATTTTTAAGTTTTCACATTTTAGGTTATAATTAGATTAAATCTTAACTTATGAATTAATTTTTAATTTCGCATTTTAGATATTCCAAATGGATATTCCTCTAGTCCAAAAGATAGGTGCAAGTTCGTCAAAATGTTAGGGGTAAATTTTAGTTTCCAAAAATGATTTTCAATGTTCGCTAAGTCCATAGAGAGAGTTCCTGGGTCGTCATTGCTTAAGGAATGGGGTGTGTTCAATATGCAAACTACAATAGTTGGTCTAGGAGCTACAAACAAAAAAATAGGTCAACACTACATGAAGACGGCGGCGGCGGGAAAACGAATCACAACGCTTTTTGTTCTCTTAAGTCACTGCGGTTTCTCCTTGTTTTTCTTCTCAATAAAGAATTCGTTTTCTGGTTTCTTTTTCTATTTTTTGTGTATTGTTTTTCTTTCTTTCGTTCTTTGTTTTTTTTTACTTTAAAAATTATTGTGGCCATAGACCTGCTCCAAAACATCATAAAATTGTTTGGTTATATTGAACACACAATAGAGATGTCACATAAATAACACCAAGAATACGCAAGAGAACACCACCACAATGAACGCTTCACGACAGGAGGTGCCATCCCAGCCACATTCCAAATCGGCTTTTAGAGACTGGAGAATAAAAAATTGGGTATTAGAAACAGAATTGAAGAGGATTTATTAATAAATTCACCTCCATTAGCTGTTGTCCGCCTTTATTGTCACATCGTGTCTCTCTCAAATCATCATCGTGATCGTCACATGAGTATCGACCGTACACCTGGCAAGGCGAGTTCATAAATGTGCGGAATATTGTGTCGGTCCAGGTTTGTGAAGAACAAATGTACTGACGACGTTTACGTTGCCAAAATTCGACCCAGCTGAAATTGGAAATATCAAATTAATTATAACGTGTTAGGAACCAAACCTATTATCCATGAAAAAAATTAATAGTCCTTGAAAAAATCAATCTTTAAAAATCCACGCCTTAGATAGTCCTTGAAAAAATCAATCTTTAAAAATCCACGCCTTAGATAGTCCTTGAAAAAATCAATCTTTAAAAATCCACGCCTTAGATAGTCCTTGAAAAAATCAATCTTTAAAAATCCACGCCTTAGATAGTCCTTGAAAAAATCAATCTTTAAAAATCCACGCCTTAGATAGTCCTTGAAAAAATCAATCTTTAAAAATCCACGCCTTAGATAGTCCTTGAAAAAATCAATCTTTAAAAATCCACGCCTTAGATAGTCCTTGAAAAAATCAATCTTTAAAAATCCACGCCTTAGATAGTCCTTGAAAAAATCAATCTTTAAAAATCCACGCCTTAGATAGTCCTTGAAAAAATCAATCTTTAAAAATCCACGCCTTAGATAGTCCTTGAAAAAATCAATCTTTAAAAATCCACGCCTTAGATAGTCCTTGAAAAAATCAATCTTTAAAAATCCACGCCTTAGATAGTCCTTGAAAAAAATCAATCTTTAAAAATCCACGAATCCTAATCCTTGAAAAAGTAGTCTTTTGAAATTCGGGCAACTCACCCCAAATCACAGTCACAATTCAAATCGGTATCCGACATTTTCAGTTCCGTCAAGAATACACTGTTCGGTAGATATGGCACCGTTCCCGTGTTTGGATTTGGTATTTTCTTCAACATCCGATTATTGTAGCGAATATCCAATGAAATATTCCGAACTCTGCCCATATTCTTGAAGAAATTCTTTGGTAACTCCATCAGGGAGGTATTGAACAATTGGATATATAAATATGGCGATTGCATGCCCTGAAATAGATTTTGTTATAAATTATAATTTTTTTAATTTATAAATTTACCCTCCACTCACCTTTAAAATATTCTCATTCAGCGTGGAAAATTGTGGCCCACTAAATGTGATATTCGTCAGTTTCATTGGCAGATGGCCTTCCATTTCCCGTGACAGATCTGTGGGCATACCCATTTGTACGGTTTGCATTTCTTGATTCGATCCCGAACCCTTTTTAATGATGCGTGTAAATGGTTGTGGTGCCTCAATCCATAGGTCACGTATATTATGATGATTCCGCAACAAATATGGAATATTGAAATGTTCCAGGTGCGAGTAAGCTGTCAGCTTCAATTGACGCAGATGTGGCAGAGCATCCAGGCAACCGTATTCAAAATAATGCAAACGGAAATTGGAAATGTCTAACATTTCAAGATCTTCATTGACACCATCGAAACTGTTGTTGTTCAGCGAGGTGATGGGATTCCCGGAGAGCATCAACTTTCTACAAAGATGAGAAGAAGAGAATGAGAAATATATGCGATTATCTATGTATAGAGCAGTTACCTTAAATGGGGCAGTGACTGTGTCATCAATGGAACATTGGTCAAATCATTATTGGATAAATCCAACATTCTCAAATTGGACATATTATGGGCCAACTCCTGTGGTATTGAAGGCAATTCATTATAACCCAATCTTATTTCCCGCAAATAACGTAAACGTATCTCGGGCACGGTGCTCAACGAAACATTTTCCAAACCCAATTTTATGAGACTTGTCTCCAAACCCATAAATGATTTATCCATTACTTTGAGATCCCGATTGTGGGACAAATCCAAAACTGCCAATTTGGGCATTGTGGCAAACACCGCATCATCAATACGCAGTAAATAATTATACGAAATATCCAAATAGCGCAGGGACTGTAAGATAAAATTTTGAGATATTAGAAATTCCAAAAATCATAAATTTTGAAAATGAAAATAGGAATAAAGAAAAATAGCAGTAGTGTACCCGATATTTATTCGGCTAACATTGTGGGTTAAGTAGGATTTGAAAGTTAATTTTTGGTTTTTATTTAAGTTTTTGATTTAGATTTTGATGATGGTGGTGGGGTGGTTTTAGTTGGTTTTGGTGGTATTTTCGGTTTTTTGAATATTTTATTTTTCAACATTATTAAGGAATATGAAAAAGAGAGATAGTAGAGTAGTAGTAGTAATAGAAGTACAAGTAGTAGTAGTAGAAGAGGAGATAGATATCATTTATTGTAGAAACAGTCTCCAACTCACTCTGAATTTGTTCGACAGATCCATGCTGTGTATTGTCGATATATAATTATTCGATAAATGTAATTCACATAATGTTAGGGCTGCCAAACTTGACAACGACGATGAGGGTATTTTCAGCAACATATTGTGGGAGACGTCCAACCTGGAAAATAAAAAAAAAACAAACAAATAAAAATAAAACCAGTAAGGAAAGTTCTAAAGTCGGACGGCGCCGACTATATGATACACTTCACCACTTTGGGTATATTGTACATATGTATCCTAACAATTGCATGTCTATGTTCCCTCTTTCTCCAACCTATCCTAACTTTCATTACATTCGAGCAGATTTAGAGCCATCTGCGTAACATGGGGAAAATTTATGGAAAACGATTTCTAGCAAATCTGATACACTCTATTCGGTACGCCGCGTTGTTAAAAATATTATCTATATGTGGGAGCTATATCTAAATCTGAACCGAGTCCCACGAAATTTAACACACATCGTTTTAGACTTAATTCAATACTCTGTGCAAAATTTCGTGCTAGGGACGTTGGTGCATTATTTGCATAAAATCGAACGAAAATATATATGGGAGCTATATCGAAATCTCGACCGATTTTCTCGAAACTCTCCACTCATCATTCTAGACTCAATTTAGTACGCTAAGCCAAATTTTGTGCAGATCTAAGCATATAAAGGGACTTTGGTACACTATTTACATATAGAGACTATGGTACACCATTTACCTTAAGGGAACACCCCCCCCCCCATTCCCGATTTTAATTTTTCAAGATTTTCAATGGGCTGGTAAATCAATACCAATGCTTGTTAAGGTTTGTAACTTTGCACATATATAATTGAAGATTTAAAAGAGAAGAAAAATAATTTACAAAACATTTTTGTTATTGTTTTGGCGGGCATGATAACTCCTCACTCGAAAAATCGGAATCCGAAAATTCCAACGGTGTTAGAAAGAGTACATGTCTGGCTCTCGTATGAACTAGGATTATTGACTTCGCTCTAAAATTAACAAAAGGGTGAAACTTTGAAAAAATATTTTTGGAAAATCGCCGATTTTTTACCAAAAACCAAGTTAAACCAGTAAGGAAAGTAGTAAAGTCGGACGGGGCCGACTATATGATATCCTTCACCACTATGGGTATATTAAACAGGACTATTAACATGAAATTGGATGAAATAATATATGTGATATTTATCTAAATGTGAATCTACCTAGATATATCCATAAAGTATGTAAATCGACTTCAAACAAATATAAATAGGTCATACGTTGGGCTATATCCGTACTTCTAGAAAACGCAACTACGTAGTTCTGTGCTCAATTTTGTACGTTGTGCAAAATTTGATGTCAATCTGACTAACATGAGGAGTTTGATGCCCAATTTACTTGAAGTATATAATATATATGGAAGCTCTATCCAAATATTAAGAGATTTCAAGCAAACTTGTCACAGGTTAGGTTATACTAATTTCAGAACGTTTTGTTCCTATTGGTTCCTTGGTGCGTCAATTACTTAAAATATGTGAGCTATATATGTGGGAGCTATATAGAAATCTGGACCGATTTTCTCGAAACTTGGCAGACATCACTCTAGGCTTAATTCAGTACGTTATGCCTAATTTCGTGCAAGTCGAAGGATATATAGGGACTTTGGTGCACCATTTACATGAAATCGGACGAAACTATATATGGGAGCTATATCTAAATCTGGACCTATTTTCTCGAAACTTGGCAGACATCACTCTTGGCCTAAATGATTAGGCTGTACCAAATTTCGTGCAAATCGAAAGATATATAGGGACCGTTTATATTAAATAGGTTAAATATATATATATGGGAGCTATATCTAAATATGAACCGATTTTTTCCAATTTCAATAGGGTTCGTCCTTGGGCCGAATAAGTGACCTATGCCAAATTTCATCCAATTCGGATCATAAATGCGACCTGTACTTTGTTTACAATTTAACATGGATAGACAGACGGACGGACGGACGAACGGACGGACATGCATAAATCGACTCAGAAAGTGATTCTATGCATATTCTCAAAAGGAGAATATGATACGAACGGACGGAATGCATAAATCGACTCAGAAAGTGATTCTATGCATATTCTCAAAAGGAACCATGTGTCTACCTCGTTTCCTTTTGCCTGTTACAAACATATGCACAAAGACATAATACCCTGTACCACAGTGTGGTGAAGGGTATAATAAGGAAGATCTTTACCGATTGGCTTTATACTACTTCATACGATAGCTATACACTCACAGAGAAACGTGTAAAAATTTGAAATCGATTGGGTTATTAGTTGTTGAGTTATCGTGCCCGCCATTCACAAAAAAATTTTTTGTACGGACATTAATTAGTGTAGATTCGAATTATATCAACAAAATTTTTGACCCCGAGAATGGGGGGGTCCCCTTAAATCGAACGAAAATATATATGGGAGCTATATGCAAATTTGACCCGATTTTCAGGAAACTTGACACACATCAATCTAGACCTAATTCATTACGCTGTGCAAAATTTATAGGGACGTACAAATCGACGAAAATATAGATATATATGGGAAACTTAATACACATCATTCTAAAGCTATATACGCTGTGCCAAATTTCGTGCAAATCGAATGATATTCCGTTTACATTAAATCGGACGAAAATATATATGGGAGCTAATTTCTGAAATAGAGTTCGTCCTTGGGCCAAATAAGTGCCTTGCGCCAAATTTCATCCAAATCGGATCATAAATGCGACGTGTTCTTTGTTCACAAAAATACATGGACGGACGGAACCATGGGTCTATCTCGATTCCTTTTACCTGTTACAAACATGTGCACAAAGACATAATACCCTGTACCATAGTGTGGTGTAGGGTATAAAAATATTCAGGAATATTTTTTAAGGACTAAAGCGTGGATTTTTTAAATAATATATTTACAAGGACTATTTAAGGCGTGGATTTTTAAAGATTATTTTTTTATAGGGATTTTTATTAAAAAATAACTCTTTTTAAAGTCTTTCTATGGACTAAGGATTTTTAAAAAATACATTTTTTCAAGGTCTATCTATGGACTAAGATTTGTAAAAAAAAAAAAATATTTTTTTCAAGGGTATCTAAGGACTAAGGTTTTGTAAAAAAAAATATTTTTTCAAGGGCTATCTAAGGACTAAGGTTTTGTAAAAAAATAATTTCAAGGGCTATCTAAGGTCAAAGGGGTCTTAGAGGAAAGCTTCTTAATGAGAATAGGGATAATTAAAATATATTTTTTCCGAGGAATATAAGGTGTGGATTTTTAAAGAATAACTATTTCAAGGACGAAGAATTTATTTTTTTTTTGAAGGGCTAGCTAAGCGTGGATTTTCAAAGAATAATTTTTTAAAAGCTTTTAAGGACTAAGGATTTAATTTTTTCAATGGCTCTCTAAGGACTAAGGATTTAAATTATTATTTAGGGACTATTTAAGTCGTTGATTTTCAAAGAATAATTTTTTCAAGGACTATCTAAGGTTTGCATTTTTAATTTTTATTTTTTCAAGGACTATCTAAGGCGTGGATTTTGAAAGGATTAAATTGTCGAGGACTATCTTTGGCGTAAAGTTTCAAAGATTATAATTTCAAGGACTATCTATGTCGTTCAAGAACTATATTTGGCGTGGATTTTCAAAGATTATATTTTTACAAGGACTGTCTAGGGTATAGGCGTGGATTTTTAAATAAAATGTTTACAATGGAAATCTAGATTATAGGCGTGGATTTTTAAATAAAATGTTTGCAATGGAAATCTAGATTATAGGCGTGGATTTGTAAATAAAATGTTTGCAATGGAAATCTAGATTATAGGCGTGGATTTTTAAATAAAATGTTTGCAATGGAAATCTAGATTATGGAAATCTAGATTATAGGCGTGGATTTGTAAATAAAATGTTTGCAATGGAAATCTAGATTATAGGCGTGGATTTTTAAATAAAATGTTTGCAATGGAAATCTAGATTATAGGCGTGGATTTTTTAATACAATTTTTATATGGACTATCTATGGTATAGGCGTGGATTTTTTAATACAATTTTTATATGGACTATCTATGGTATAGGCGTGGATTTTTATATAATATCTTTACAAGGACTATCTAAATAATATTTTTACAAGGACTATCTACTAACTAAGTTGTATCCTACACATATTGTCATGGCATTTTTAAGGAAGACTAAATAAATAGGTGCACCTATTTATATAGTCCCAAATTTCTTTTAGCAAATTGGCTCCGCCCGAGAACTCAATTGCAGAAAAATCTATTGCTATAATATGGTGCTCTGGAGTCTTTCCCAGAATAAAATAGGCCTGTTATCGGATCCGAATACTTACTTCTCCATACCACCATTATAGAATAAATTATCCGGCAAGCCACGTAAATGATTATGAGAAAAATCTACAACTCGTAATGCTCGTATGGGTTTAAAAACTTCTTGAGGTATATCAGTCAAATGATTGTAATGGAAATAGATTAACTGAAATTGAATAAATGTTCAGAGATTATTTGTAATGTCCATGATATGAAAATGGATGATAAATGGTCATACCTGTAATTCTTTGGTATTTTTAAAGGCATCAAAATCAATTTCACGTATATAATTATGTGATATATCCAGCCATTGCAGGTGTGGCATATTTCCAAAGACATCACGTGTGACATTCTGAAATCGGAGGGAATGATAAAAACAAAAACTATTATCTATCATATTTTATGGCTACAACTCACCATCAAGGCATTATAACCCAAATGTAAATGTGTTAATGAACTTTCGGCGGGTCGAAAATATCCCGGATATATTATCGAGATATTATTGTGTGATAAATCTAAGATTTTGATATTCGAATGATACATTGAGCCTAAAAATATAATGAAATGTTAGAAAATAAATAGAGTTTTTACAATTTTTTTCACTTACCATGATCACCTCTACCGACCCAAGATGAATTGTGCATTAACATTTTAATTTGATTATGACTAACATTCACATTTAAATTTGATAACGTTCCAACCTATTAAACAACGAGATTACAATGAATAAAATGTACCCAATATATTCCGACTTCTGTACTCACCTGATCGAAATAGTCAAAATTGAAATTTGGCAACATATTGAAAGCCATATCGAGAATCTCCAATTTTGGTAAATTCTGTAAAGATATAAAAGGATGTGGATTTAGTAAAGAAAAATATTTAAAGAATATTTTTTTTAAAGAATTTTTTTATTAAAGAATATTTTTTCAACGGTCCATCTAAGGCCTGGATTTATTAAAGAATACTTTTTCAAGGGTCCATCTAAGGCGTGGATTTATTAAAGAATATTTTTTCAAGGGTCCATCTAAGGCGTGGATTTATTAAAGAATATTTTTTCAAGGGTCCATCTAAGGCGTGGATTTATTAAAGAATATTTTTTCCAGGGTCCATCTAAGGCGTGGATTTATTAAAGAATATTTTTCAAGGGTCCATCTAAGGCGTGGATTTATAAAAGAATATTTTTTCAAGGGTCCATCTAAGGCGTGGATTTATAAAAGAATATTTTTTCAAGGGTCCATCTAAGGCGTGGATTTATAAAAGAATATTTTTTCAAGGGTCCATCTAAGGCGTGGATTTATTAAACAATATTTTTTCAAGGGTCCATCTAAGGCGTGGATTTATTAAACAATATTTTTTCAAGGGTCCATCTAAGGCGTGGATTTAATAAACAATATTTTTTCAAGGGTCCATCTAAGGCGTGGATTTATTAAACAATATTTTTTCAAGGGTCCATCTAAGGCGTGGATTTATTAAAGACGATTTTTTCAAGGGCCCACAGGCGTGGTTTGTAATAAAGAATAATTTTTCCAAGCATCTACAGGCGTGGTTTGTAATACAGAATAATTTTTCCTAGCATCCACAGGCGTAAATTTATTAAACTATATATTAACTATATATTAAACAATATTTTTTCAAGGGTCCATTTAAGGCGTGGATTTATTAAACAATATTTTTTCAAGGGTCCATCTAAGACGTGGATTTATTAAACAATATTTTTTCAAGGGTCCATCTAAGGCGTGGATTTATTAAACAATATTTTTTCAAGGGTCCATCTAAGGCGTGGATTTAATAAACAATATTTTTTCAAGGGTCCATCTAAGGCGTGGATTTATTAAACAATATTTTTTCAAGGGTCCATCTAAGGCGTGGATTTATTAAAGACGATTTTTTCAAGGGCCCACAGGCGTGGTTTGTAATAAAGAATAATTTTTCCAAGCATCTACAGGCGTGGTTTGTAATACAGAATAATTTTTCCAAGCATCCACAGGCGTAAATTTATTAAACTATATATTAACTATATATTAAACAATATTTTTTCAAGGGTCCATTTAAGGCGTGGATTTATTAAACAATATTTTTTCAAGGGTCCATCTAAGGCGTGGATTTATTAAACAATATTTTTTCAAGGGTCCATCTAAGGCGTGGATTTATTAAAGACGATTTTTTCAAGGGCCCACAGGCGTGGTTTGTAATAAAGAATAATTTTTCCAAGCATCTACAGGCGTGGTTTGTAATACAGAATAATTTTTCCAAGCATCAACAGGCGTGGTTTGTAATAAACAATAAATTTTCCAAGCATCCACAGGCGTAAATTTATTAAACTATATATTTTTTCCAAGGACCCACAGGCGTAAATTTATTAAAGTATATTTTTTCCAAGAACCCACAGGCGTAAATTTATTAAAGTATATTTTTTCCAAGAACCCACAGGCGTAAATTTATTAAAAATTTATTTTTCCAAGGAACCACAGGCGTAAATTTATTAAAAATTTATTTTTCCAAGGAACCACAGGCGTGGTTTGTAATAAAGAATAATTTTTCCAAGCATCCACAGGCGTGGTTTGTAATAAAGAATAATTTTTACAAGGACCCACAGGCGTAAATTTATTTAAAAATACCTACATATATGTACTCTTCTTCTTCTTTATTTTCTCAAACTATTTTATTAGAATTTTAATTTAATTGTATTTTTTATATAATTAAACGAATCTTAAATTTAACGGCCTTTCATCCTTGACTTCTTTCAAAGCCATGCCAACACAACTTAACGCCGTATAAATTAAAAGCTAAAGCATTTAAAGAGAACAAAATTCCCACTAAGAGAAACATTTACCTCACAAGTTCGCTCTTTGTTTTGATAGCAGCTGTTATGTTTGACAGATTCTTGTATTGTATTCGGTATATTTTTGTTGTGGTTGTTGTTGTTGTTTTTCAAGAAGAAGAAGAAAAAAGATACTTTTGCGTACAACAACACCACATCAAAGGATTTGTATTTATAAATATACACAAACTACGAATTCATAGAAGAAAAAATAAAAATTTGGAAAAAATACTGCTTCCAGGGCAGTATGAATAACAAAAAATATAACTCCACAATGGCCAATAATCGTTCCATAAATAGTGGTGGTGGTATGTGCCGTTTTTGTGGGTGTGAAAATAAAGAAAATGTGGACATTTTCTCGGCTAAGAAAACACCACCACCATCGTCATCCTCAACCTCGTCGTCATCAAAATCGGATAGACCAGGAATAGATGATTTACTAAGTAAAATATCAACAGTTTATCCATTTGTGGTAAGTTTTGAAGAAGGGGAGGAGGTAGGTTATTTTTAATTTGGCGCTTAATTTAAATTAATTCTGTGATTTATTTATGTTTCGTCTTTTTTGCTCTCCCTTTTCAATAGATATACGAAAATGATCCACTGCCGCAACACATATGCCCCAAATGCATTGACAATGTATATGCATTGTATCGAGACATACAGGAAGTCTTGAGACATCAAAAGAAACTATTGAATATGTTGAGATGTGAGGAACCGCACCATGAATATTTTCGTATATTAAATGAAATTGAGGTAATATTGAAATTAAACACTAAATACCTATATACGTTTGTCTGTATAAGAAATAGTTGCCTATAATGTCCAATTAGACCGTAATATCGTATCGAAAGAATGGAAAATATACCTTTCGAAATATTGTTATGATTTTAATGCATATTAAGAAGTTTAGAAAATAAATAAATACCAGTAAGGAAGGTAGTAAAGTCAGACTGTGTATCCTAACAGACGCCGCCTTTTCCAAGGAACATTGACATGAAATTGAACGAACCTAAATATGTGATCTTTATCTATAAGTAAACCGACTAACATCAATCCCAACACATGCTATTTTGCAACATATTCTAAATTTTGTAAATTTTGCTTGACTGTTAAAAATGTAATATCAATCAGACATCCATTGATTACTTGGTATACAATTAACATTAATTGGTCGAAATTATATATGGAAGCTATGCTATATCCATATCTGAACAGATTTCAAAGAAACTTGCCAGAGATTAAATTATATTAATTTCAGTACGCTGTGTCAATCGGCCTAGCTATGTATCATAAGTGCATACATAAAATCGGGTGAAAATATACATGGGATATATATCTATATCTGAACCGATTTTCACGAAACTTAGCACCCATCATTCTAGACTCAATTCAGTACGCTATGCCAAAATTCGTGTAAATCGAAAGATTTAGGGACTTTGTTGCATCATTTACTAAATCTGAACCGATTTTGTCGAAACTGGACACACGTCTTTCTAGACTCCTTTCAGTACCCTATGCAAAATTTCATGCAAATCGAAAGATATTTAGGGACTTTTGTGATCCATTTACATAAAATAGGACGAAAATATATATGGGAGCTATATTTAAATCTGACCCGATTTTCTCGAAACTTGACACACGTCATTCTGGACCTAATTCAGTACACAATGAATAACTTCGTACAAATCGAAAGATATATAGGAGCTTTTGTGCACCATTTACATAAAATAGGACGAACTATATCTAAATATATGGGAGCTATATATAGATTTTCTCCAAACTTGACACACGTCATTCTGGACCTAATTCAGTAACCTATGCCAATTTTCGTGCAAATCGAAGGATATATAGGAACTTTGGTGCACCATTTACATAAAATCGGATGGAACTATATACGGGAGCTATATCTAAATATGAACCGTTTTTCTCGAAGCTTGACACACATCATTCTGGACCTAATTCAGTACGCTATGTGAAATTTCGTCCAATCGAAAGATATATAGGTACTTTGGTGCACCATTTACATAAAATCGGACGAAACTATATACGGGAGCTATATCTAAATCTAGACCGATTTTCAAGGAACTTAGCACACATCATTCTGGACCTAATTCAGTACACTATGCAACATTTCGTGCAAATCGAATGATATAGGGATTTTGGTGCCCCATTTACCTTAAATAGGACGATAATATATGGGAGCTATGTCTAAATCTGAACCGTTTTTCTCAAAAATTGACACGAATCATTCTAGACTCAATTCACTGCCCTATGCAAAATTTCGTGCAAATAGAAAGATATCATTTCAATGATAACCCATTTCTTTTACTTTTCTTCCAGAACTCATCGCGGTCAACAAAAGTGTATATTAAGGCATCCTATAATGTTGACATCAATCAAAATACTCCCATAAAGGTATTAACATTTCCCTCGAGTGAAGATCTCCTAATTGCCGAGGAGAATATAAAAACGGAAAAATCAGAAAAATCCTCTAACGATAAGGTAGTACAAAATATCCAATCAAAATTGGAACAAAATGGATGCACGATCAAACGTATTAAAGTGGCACAAAGTGAAAATAGATCCGCCCATTGTTCAATTGAATCAATGGATGACGATCCCGAACTTATATCTTGTCCATATTGTGATTTGACATTTTCCGATCACAAACAACTTGCCGAACATCAAGTGGAGCATTTAAATATATCAAGTTGCAAACTATTTGAAAAACGTCTTCTACCAAAAAATGCAAGACGTGGACGTCTTATTACGGTAAATAATGAAAAGCACATTCGTTGCCTGAATTGTTGGCAAGTTTTCAGGGATAATAAAAGTATTTTACAACATTGGTCGAACAGTGATTGTTATTACTATTGTTTTATATGTGGCAAAGAGTTTCCACATTCACCGAAAGTACTCAGGGAACATTTGCCCTCGGTACATGGTGTTAGTTTTCGTTCCGTTATGAAACAATTCTATATAAATCGTTCTGCGCCCTCACAACAAAAAACTGCA